GATACTGGTGGACTGTCGATCAAGAATACATCATTGAAAAGAAGGAGAAAGGCAGTCCAGTTTGGATTGAAACAGGAAGAGTTAATGGAGGTGTCGCAGCTTTTTCAGCTCATGGTTTGAAACCTGGATCAGAATACGAATTTCGAGTTATTGCAGTGAATGAAGTTGGTCCATCCGATCCATCCGAGCCATCAGATGGTCAAATAGCTCGATCAAAATATGTGATACCCGAAATTATCTCTCAAATACGGAAATTTAAAATCAAAGCAGGTTTATCGCTGACGGTAGAAGTGGAATATATTGGTTCTCCGGATCCATCGGTAATCTGGGAATTCAAGGAAGGTGAACCATTACCTGAAAACCTTTTGTTGAGTGGTAAGAATGGCGTGCTAACAAGTACAACAAGTTTTTTCATACCATCTGCTAAACGATCTGAAAGTGGAAATTATACATTGAAACTGAAAAATGAAGCTGGTGAAACGTCCGGTTTATTTGAAGTTATTGTTCAAGATAGACCGTCGACACCACAAGGACCAATTGAAGTAACTGATGTTACTAAAGAAGGCTGCGTTCTTAACTGGCAACCACCGAAAGATGATGGTGGTACAGAAATCACCAATTATGTAGTCGAAAAGCGTGATCTGCAATCAAATACTTGGACGCCGGTATCAGCTTTTGTTCCTGGTACCACAGTCGTAGTGTCAAAACTTGCTGAAGGGCACCAGTATGAATTTCGAGTCATGGCTGAAAACGCAAATGGGCGATCAGACCCGCTAAATAGTGACTCACCTGTGCTTGCCAAGGATCCATTTGGCAAACCGGGTAAACCCGGCCGACCAGTCGTTACCAATCATGACGTGGATCATATAGATATCGAGTGGGAGTCACCTAAAGATAATGGTGGCAATCCTATTTCACATTACGATGTGGAGCGTAAAGACTTGAAAAGCGGCCGTTGGATCAAGATAAACAACAACCCGGTAAAAGATACCAGTTTCGTGGATGATCGTGTCCAAGAAGGTCATATTTATGAATATCGAGTCCGAGCAGTAAACAAAGCCGGTCACGGTCCACCATCGGATCCTTCGGCTGCAGCCATTGCAAAACCGATGTTCCAGGCTCCAATGTTTGGTATCGATATTCACGGTAAAGAATTCAGGGTTCGTGCTGGAGAACCACTGGATATCAATGTTCCATATATAGCATCACCAAAGCCTGATTTGAATTGGGTGAAAAACGGTCAAATACTTAGCAGTGTGGAGACAGACGACTCGAAAACACGTCTTTATATCAAGGAAAGCAAACGTTCGGACTCTGGGGTATGCACAATTACTGCATCGAATTCATACGGTGATACACAAGCAACAATTAAGATTTGCGTAGTCGATCGACCAGGACCCCCAGAAGGCCCCCTGGCTTATTCGGAAACTTCGCGCCATTCTGTGACTTTGAGGTGGTGTCCACCTGAGGATGATGGTGGTTCTGAAGTTACCGGTTACCGTATTGAGTACCAAGAGGCAGGTACGCCTAATTGGGTTCGTGTGATTGAGGCGGTTGGTGGTAACACATATACCGTTCGCGGACTGGATCACGGAAAGCAGTATCGCTTTCGCGTGCGTGCTGAAAATGTAATGGGGTTGAGTGAACCACTAGTGGGTGCACCAGTGGTTGCAAAAGATCCGTTCGACCGGCCTGGACCACCCTCTACTCCCGAAATAATGGGATATAGTCGCAATCAAATAAGTTTATTATGGAATCCGCCAAACAACGATGGTGGATCGCCAATCCTAGGCTATGTAATCGAAAAGTTTGAAAAAGGTGGCAATGATTGGACACCCGTCAAGATGCGCTTGACTAAAAGTACCGAAGCTACTGTTACTGGTTTAATCGAAGGAGAAACTTACCAGTTCCGGGTTCGAGCTATTAATTTAGCTGGTGAAGGTGAACCAAGCGGTAACTCTGAACCCACCGTGTGTCGTCCATTCGTTACCCCACCTGATGCCCCAGATCAGCCACGGGTGGGTAAGATAACTAAGAATTCCGCAGAATTGACCTGGAACCGTCCTTTAAAAGATGGCGGAGCCCCAATCGAAGGATACATTGTTGAGAAAAGGAAAGATGGTGTTGGCGACTGGGTACCATGCAACGATAAACCTGTCAAAGATAGTTTCTTGGTTGTGGAATCACTAGAGGAAAATGGAGAATATGAATTCCGCGTGAAAGCAGTTAATTCGGCTGGAAAAGGTGGACCGTCGAAGCCAACTGATATGGTACGTATTGAAGAGCAACCAGGTCGCCCATGTTTGGATCTATCTGGTGTTAAAGATATCACTGTCAAGGCTGGAGATAGCTTTGAAATCGAAATCCCTTTTACTGGTGGTAATCCGAAACCAATGGCAACTATCTTCAATGGAGTGAAAGAAATATTTGGCGGAGATGATCGCATTAATATTGAGGTGATTTTTTATGCATTATTTTTACATGAAAATTTGTTTAATTTTGATAAAGTTGGCTAAATTTGTCAAGAATGGTGGTTAGAGGAAAATTTGTTTGATTTCGAAATTTTTTTCAATCATTATTTACTGAAAGGAAAAGAAATATGAAGAGTAATAATGTAAAGTAGTTGGAAATTCAGGTAAGCGCCGGTTTTGTGACCTTAACGACGAAATCGGCGAAAAGATCAGATGCTGGACCGTATCGCATCACGTTAAGTAATCGTTTCGGTAAAGATACAGCAAAAGTGAACGTTAACGTACTGTCACCACCAGGCAAACCCGTTGGTCCAATAGCAGCAAGTGAAATTGCTGGTGATGCAATAACACTTTACTGGAGTCCACCACTTGATGACGGTGGTGCTGGTATAAGCAATTATGTGGTGGAAAAACGTGAACCGGATGGTACGTGGACCAAAGTTGGTCAGCCACTTGGTGCCAATTTTCGAGTACGTAACCTAGAAAATGGGCATCCATATGAATTTCGAGTCTCAGCTGAAAATCAGTATGGAATAGGTGAACCACTTGAAACAATGGAACCTATTATTGCGAAGGACCCGTTTGGTAAGTTTTTCTACTGTTTCCTTAAAACTCAATTTTCCTAATGGAAAAATTTTTACTGCAAGCTCTAAATTCGAAACTATTTTCTAGCTATTTGTAAGCACATGAACCTCACTATTTTTAGATAAGCCTGATGCTCCTGGACGACCAGAAGCTATTGCAACAACCGAGGATACCATTACGTTGCAGTGGACTCATCCGTTCAAAAATGGTGGTTCACCGATACAAGGTTACGCGTTGGAAAAGCGTGAAGAAGGTGATGACTGGTCAAAATGCGCTTTTGGTCTTATCAGTGATACGCAGTACCGAGTAAGGATCATAATAGTTCACAAATTACGTTTTTACATAAAACTTCTGAAGTAACAAATTGCCTTAAAAGTGTAGCCTATGAATTGATTTGCCAGAAAGAAGACTAGCAAAAAGTGATTAAATCATCTATCGAATTACGTCTATAGCTGTCCTTTTTGAGGTCACTGGTTTAACACCACACAAAAATTATGAATTTCGTGTAGCCGCGGTAAATGGAGTCGGTCAAAGTCCATGGAGCCAAAACAGCGAACAAATTACGGCTCAAGTAGAAGCTGTAAGGCCAAGGATTCAGCTTGCCTTACTTGGCAGAGACATTATTGCTCGTGCTGGATCTCCAGCAAAGGTAGGTTAATGAAAAATTTTAGCACTGCTTAGTAGTGAAAAACTAATAAAATTTAGAATTATGTGTTAAAATTGGCCACATCTTCTAGCTTTTGAAATGGGAGATAAATTTGCAGATTCTAGTGCCATTTTCATCAAGTCCATCTCCGGAAATAACATGGAAAAAGGACGGTAAATTAATTGATGAGATGTCAAAACGTTTGAAGCTTGAGTCGAATGATTTTTTGACACAACTTTCATATGAAAAATGCGAACGCGACGACACGGCTAGCTACACCATCAAGGTCGATTTTTACAATGAGCTGCAAAATCTTTCAAAATTTCGATTTTAACATAGAGACGAAATGCTCTTTCTCTACTCTTATATCACACTATTCACTCAGCACCGTAGAAATCATGGAGGAAGAATCGATCTTTAGTTACCCCTTGGCGAGTAATTCTGTGTAAATTTTAAGTCTTAGATGCAGATGGTGCATTATTAAAGTATTTGCGAATAATTTAAAAAAGCTATCGCATAATTTACAAAAGCTATATATATAAAAGTAAATTCTTGAAATGGAATCGCATGGATAAACCTGATTCCAATTATGAGAAGATGCGGTAACCTATTAATTAATAAGTATTCTCAAATCAAAAGAAAAAAAATCTATTTTCAGCTGGAAAACGACGCTGGATCGGACAGCGTTAATGTCAGATTATTAGTTGTTGATTGTCCATCACCACCAAAGAGTCTTATGGTTTCCGATATCACACCGGATTCTTGCGTTTTGGATTGGGAATCGCCAGATGATGATGGAGGCTCTCATATTACTAATTACATCCTGGAGAAGTGCCGCATTAGTACGCCATCAGATGATGTTTGGGAGAAAATTAGCTCATTCGTACGTGGTACCAATTACGTAGTTACTGGTCTTAATGAAAACGAGCGCTACAAATTCCGAGTTCGGGCGGAAAATCAATATGGTATATCAGAACCAAATGCACTGAATGAGCCAATCGTTGCTCGTTATCAGTTTAAAGTACCATCACAACCAGATCCACCCACTGTTCGCGATATGGACAGCACCTGGGCTGAAGTGGAGTGGGAACCGCCATCAGACGGAGGTTCGAAGATTCTTGGATATATGCTGCAGTACAAAGAGCCAGGATCTAGCAAATGGATAAATGCCAGTGCCCGTCCAACACAAATTACCAGCTTTCGAGTCCAGAATTTAAAAGATAAGGGTGAATATGAATTCCGCGTTATCGCTAAAAATAAAGCTGGTTTGTCAAAACCATCGCTGCCATCAGAAAAAGTACAACTTAAACTCAAATTTGGCCCACCTGGTCCACCGACACAAATAGTTGCCGAATCGATAGGAAGGAATCACGTGACGCTCACTTGGGCTCCACCAATTGATGACGGTGGTTCCAAGATAACTGGATATATTGTGGAAAGCCGAGAACTTGGTATTAAGAGCTGGCGAATTGTTAGCGACTACAATGTACAGCAACCTGAATTTACCGTTCCTAATTTAATTGAATTTCATGACTACGAATTCCGAATTACAGCTATCAATAAATACGGAAAAGGTTTACCATCTTTACCTTCGTCACCAATCAAAATCCAGGAAATGGGTGGTTCTAAGCCTGTAATTGTTGTCAAACCAGCGGACACAGCTTCGCCTTATAATCGACGTGCAGTATTTACATGCGAAGCTGTTGGCAGACCAGGTAAGCTACTTATTGATTAATGAGTTCCAATTCCAAACTTTGGGATTTTGTAGCTATTACTGAAAAAGATTTTAAAATCATGATAACAGGACAATTTTTTTAGCACCAACTGCACGCTGGTTACGTAATGGACGTGAAATACCAGAAGGTGCACGTTATCGCACTGAAGCACAGGATGAAGTTTTCAAACTTATCATCAGAGAAGTATGGGATATTGATTCTGGGGAATATACCTGTGAAGTGTCAAACATTTATGGTTCCGATTCTGCTACTGCGGCACTAATTGTTCAAGGTTTGAAACTTGTTGAGCTAATTCTAATTGTTTCAGAATTCGTAGAATTTTGACTTTAAAGTTAAATTTTAGCGCCACCTGTGATCGAAAAAGGTGTTGCAAATGCCGTATATGCCGATGGCGAATTAGTACGACTAAAGATTTACTTCTCTGGCACTGGTCCATTTAATTATACATTTACCCTGAACAAGAAAGAGATACCTGCCGATCATCCCAATATCCATTTCGTGGACTTCGATAATCACGTTATCATTACTATTCCATCGATCCATAGTAATGAGGCTGGTCGTTATGAGTTGACAATAAGCAACGACAGCGGTGAAGCGAATACTGGTTTCTGGCTGAATGTCACCGGGCTACCATCAGCACCGCAAGGACCATTGCAGTTTTCCGACTTGAACGTATCTCAAGTGTTACTTAGTTGGAAACCTCCAGTGGTTAGTTTTTCTCTGAATTCCTTTTTCGCAGTTCAACTTCTGAAATATTTGTCAGTTAGACTGAGCTGAACTTAAAAGATTTTTCAGAGTGATGGTGGTGCACGTATAAACAATTACATTGTCGAAAAGCGTGATCTAGCAAAGGATGAATGGACTGAAGTAGCAACATTCATAAAAGATACCAACTATTTGGTCACTGACCTCTTCGAAGGACGTGAATATGAGTTTAGAATTAGTGCCGTCAACAAAAATGGGCAAGGTCCAGCCCTCGTTGGTGACCAGTCAATTATTGCACGACTACCATTCGATCCTCCATCATCTCCTGGAAAACCCGAGGTAAATTTTTCCGAGAAATTAGGTCATTTTAACCGTAATACTGTGCTAGAATTTTATAATTAAAAACATCTTGAATCGAGTTCCAGTTTTTTCTTTCTTTTTATTTTTAATTTGTGGTTTAAAAGCAATCAATGGAGTACGTTTTAGAGTATAAATATAAGTGAAGATTCTCTGACGTTGAGTTGGGCTCGTCCAAACTCCGATGGAGGTGGCCGCATCCGTGGATATTTGATTCAAAAGAAGGAAGTTGGCACAGATATCTGGCAAAAATGTAACTATAATCCAAATCCATCCACATCCTGCGTCGTGAATAATCTGATTGAAAATCGTGATTATGAATTTCGTGTGTTTGCTATTAATGATGCTGGTCATTCCGAACCATCTATGAGGTATTTTTGATTCACTGCAAATATGTCAATTTACTATTTGATTGAAAATTTTGTCTTAAATGATAAAAATTTTTGAAAGAATGAGTTAATAAAAGAAGTAATCCTTTTAGCAATTACTTAAGCTTTCAAATCCTGAAACTTACTTTTCCAGTAATGTTATCAAATACGTTCATTTATCATCTGGCCGAGCACCAACAATTATTACTCCGCTTACCGATTTGTATGGTGAACATGGACGATCGGTGACTTTAGAATGCGTAATAACTGGCAATCCACAACCGGAATATCGTTGGTACAGAGGTTTACGAGAACTTACCGAAACTTCCAAATATAATATCTACGATAAGGGCGATACACAGGTGTGTTGTACTGAGAAGTCGAACTCGTAAGAAGTAATAAAATATTTAGTAACGGTTTGCTACAATCTGGAATGCTGTACTTTTGTTCGATATTATTGAACGCTTCTGTGATATTCACGGTTTTATTCTTTCCCTACAGTGCGCATTTTTCAGACATTGGTCATTAATGATTTGCATGCAGATGATGCCGACGAGTACTCTTGCCGTGCAACGAACTCGAATGGCACTAAATCAACGCAAGCACAAATAGTTGTTTGTTCTAAACCCCGTGTATTTCTTCCACCGCGGTATCATGGAGGTTATGAAGCAAAGAAGAATGAAAATATCGAGCTGAAAGTGCCATTCAAAGCATTTCCACAACCTACAGCAAAGTGGTTCAAAAATGCTGAACCGATCAGCAATTCTGATAAATATAAGATTACTACCGATGACAAGTAAGTTTTCAATTCTCTAGTAATTGCCTTAAAATTTTCAGAAAATTAGTTTTAATTAAATTTAGGTTTATATTTTATGCTTCGATTTACATTAAATCTCCGAATACTATCTTTTTTAGGTTTACAACTTTGGCAATCTCAAGTGGTACACGAGAAGATTTTGGACAGTACCGAATAGTAGTAGAAAACAGTATCGGTTCAGATTCTGCTACTATAAGCTTAACTGTCGCTGATAAACCCGATCCGCCAAGATTCCCAATCGTTGAAAATGTTTTGGATGAAGCTGCTATTTTGTCGTGGAAAGCTCCGGAATTGGATGGAGGTGCTATGATTACCAAGTATGTTTTCGGAGTTCTTAGATTAAATTGAAATAAAATGTTAATATCTCATTAAATCAATAACGGAGTATGTTTCAAAAACGGCTTTCAAGAAAGTTAATTTAATTTAAATCTCCAGCTATATTATTGAGCGACGTGAAGCAACTGGTGGACAATGGGAACAGTGTGCCAAATCACGTTATACTTATCTAACAGTAGAAGGGCTAAAACCTAAGCATACTTACGAATTCCGTATCATTGCCGAAAACAAATATGGACAATCAAAACCGTGTGAACCAACTGCTCCTATTGCTATTCCTGAACAACGTATTCGAAAAAAAGGTTACGATGGTAAGGATATTTATTCCGGATGTGTTGGATGCAAGTTTGTATTGAAATTTATTTATTTTTTGATTTACCTGAAAATTTCCAATGATAAAATCTTAATTGAAGTTTACATATCTGAAATTTTTGCAGTTGACGATTTGGGCAAGATTGTCCATGGAAAAGGAGCGACATCTGATAATTATGATGCTTACGTAATCGATGTTTGGAAACAATACTATCCGCAATCGGTAGAACCAAAACGAGAATCGGTGTATGATTATTACGACATTCTTGAAGAAATTGGGTCGTAAGTTTCCTATTTGTGCCGTTCAAGCAACTCCATGAGCTGAATTCTGAAAAAATTTTTTCCAAAGGAAAATGTACAGTTTTCGGAAATAAAGATTGTTTGTCGAGATATGTCTTATTTTCATAAGAATTTTAATAATATTTTCTAGAGGTGCATTCGGCTCTGTACATCGTTGTGTTGAAAGAGCAACTGGTAATACATTTGCTGCGAAATTTGTTAATACACCTCATGATGCGGACAAGGATACAGTGTGCAAGGAAATTAATACCATGTCTGTCCTTAGACATCCAAAACTGATAAATCTGCACGATGCTTTCGAAGATGATAAAGAAATGGTCATGATTTACGAGTTGTAAGTTTTTTCATTTATAATTAATTTTAATGCTAAGAGAACATTCAGATGTTTTTATTGACCAGTCTTCATGTCATAAGTTTTCGGAATATTTTTGGCAAGATTCATAAAATTGGTAAGACGAAATTTTTTGCAGTATGTCGGGTGGTGAGCTATTCGAGAAAATTTCCGATGAAAAGAATCGGATGTCGGAAACGGATACAATCGGTTACATTCGACAAGTGTGTGAAGCGTTGCGTCACATGCATGAGATGAATTATGTACATCTGGATCTGAAGCCTGAGAATATCATGTTCATGACGAAGAAAAGTGACCAGTTAAAGTTGATCGATTTCGGTTTGGCAGCAAAACTAGATCCCAAAGACACTGTAAAGGTGACAACTGGTACAGCAGAATTTGCCGCACCGGAAGTAGTTGCCAATGAACCAGTGGGATTCTACACTGATATGTGGAGCATTGGTGTACTTGCCTATATTCTGTAAGTTTTTTAAGCTTGGCTTATTTCAACCATATCTGGAAGAACAGAATTACATGTGGTTCTTAATTCTCTAAGCATTATTTATTAATTCTCTAAGCATTATTGTGCCCTTCCTGATACTACACAGTTCTGATGATATCAAGAGATTGGTTGTATGTCGTACATCCCTTACTTATATGTTAATCAATAGTTTATTCTGGATATTTCAGCTTATCTGGTCTTTCACCATTCGGTGGAGAAACTGATGAAGAAACTCTCCGGAATGTAAAGAAATGTGACTGGAATATGGATGATCCTAGTTTTGCAAATATTTCTCAGGAAGGGAAAGATTTCATCATGAAGCTTCTAATGCTTGACCCGAAGTAATTTTCATTTCATGCCATCCTGTTTTATGCAGGTACTTGAAGCCAAGATAAGTAAGTAGCTTTTGAAAAAGTGCTTCATTTAATCAGCGTTTGGATCAATTGCAGAAGTCGAATGACCGTACATGAAGCTCTGGAACATCCTTGGCTTAGTGGCGTTGCCAACAATGTACCATCTCAACAAATACCCAATGAACGCTATCACTCCATTCGTGACTCCGTTAGACAGAGATATGTAAGTATTACGGAATTTATTACATCTAATCTGCATCTTTAGCCAATATTTAATGTAGGAAGAAGATTAAAATGTTTTGTTATAATTTATTTTATCAGGACGCTTGGCCAGAACCAAATCCACCTCTCGGACGTATTTCGAACTACAGCTCCCTTAAAAAGCATCGTCCAACTGAATATCATATTCATGATACATGGTTCAGCAGAGAAGAGGGCCAGCCACGATTCATCGTCAAACCGTTTAGTACGAGTTGCAATGAAGGCGGAAATGCTACATTCTCATGCCGGTATTGTGATAATTTGATATTCGGAACGATATAAATTTTAATTGTGAAATAACTTTCATATGAATTGATCTTATTAAATCTTTCATAAGTAAAGAACTTATTGCAGAGTTATTGCTTCGTCACCACCGATAGTGACGTGGCATAAGGATACAGATGAACTGAAGCAAAGCACCAAATATATGAAGAAATACACGGATAATAATTATATGATAACGATAAATAGGGTTAAACCAGAAGATGCTGGTGAGTATACTGTAAGGGCAAAGAATTCATATGGTTCCAAAGAAGAAGTTGCATTCCTGAAAGTGATTGGTTGGTTTAAATTAGAAATTCAGACTTAAATCTATCAAGGACTTCAGAACCTTCTGTTCACCTGTTTTTTACCGAATTTAATAATTTTGCATAGAACTTGTTTTCAAAGTAGATATATTAACTTTCATTACAAATCTTGAGACCAAACTACATAGTTTTTAGAATCAGCTAGAACACAAAGCAACTTGAGAGCCTCGGAATTTGAAAAACGATCCTATGTTATGCGCAAACCTGAACCATTTAAAGAACGCCAGATTGCTCCAAAATTCACCTTCTACCTTCGATCACGTCTCATCCAGAAGAATCACCCATGTAAATTGATTTGCAATGTACAAGGCGATCCAGTTCCTAAGGTAATTTTATACATATTTGAATCTGTATTACGAAAACAATGCTAATGTGTAACTTGAAACAGTGTCAGATGATAGTTCATTGTAAATTTATTATCAAAGTTCAATTCTTAATTTTCAGTTTGAATGTTTATTTATAGGTTGAATGGTTCAAAGATGGTACACCAATTGACAAGGATAGAGCACATTTAACCTATCGAAGCGGTGTCTGTACAATGGAATTATTTAGTTCTCGTATGGATGATTCGGGTACTTATCGTTGCGAAGCAACTAACAGTTTGGGAACAGATTATACTGAATGTACTGTCAGTGTACAAGGTAATAGCTGTGCTTCTAACTGATATTCGAATATAGGAATTCGTTTATATCTGATACATAACATTCGATCGATCCATCCACAAACATATAAATTATAACAGTTCCACTTATAATACAAATACAATATATTATAAGTCTTCACCTTAAATAATTAGTACTGAAAATTTTGAAGCGTTGAATTTTTTTTATTTTATAAAGAACTTTTTTCAAGGTAGAAGCGGTGAGTCAATACCGGTAAAACCACTTCGTACAAGAAGGATTTATGACATTGTCAGTGCAGGGAATATTGAACGTTCACAATCTAGTGCCGATGTTTCACTGAGGCATAACATAAAGCCATCAACACCACAGTCTCGGGATGATTCAACTGCAAAACATGATGATAAACTACCCACTTTCGTATCGAAATTGTCAAGCATTACTGTAAAAGAGGGTGAACAAGCTGAATTTTCTTGTGCGGTAAGTGCTGCCTCATTTAAATCTCAAAAACCTGGAAAAATCAGTTCTTTATGTTTGACAAGAGGCTTTGTAGATAACCGGGTATCCGGAACCTCTTATCGAATGGCTCCACAATGGTGAACATATTACTGATGATTCTCGTTTGAAAATCTCTTTTGTCACGGGTCGAGCTTCACTAACAATCAGAAACATTGATAAACAAGACGCAGGAGAGTACTGTTGTAAGGCTAGTAATTCAGCAGGTTCGGAAACAAGTAAAGCAGATCTTGTAGTTAAAAGGTGAGTTCTAAGTAACTTTTTTTCATTTCCCAAGCAACTTCATGAATTTCAAGCATAAATTGCAGGATTTAGACATAACACGTATTTTCCATGATGAGTCAATAGACGATGCTGGTAAAGGTAGAAAACTATAGAAAATACAACTTTGCATAAGAGATGAGGATGAATCTGATGCAGTACCACTTCAAACTAAAATTCGCTTGTGTTTAGCAGCGGTACGAGGAAGGATGACGCTGCAAATGAACCATTGACAAATGGTGAATTGACTGTTAAAGAAACTACAGAGCAGCAGGAAACATCAGACCAAACTATCTTAAACGGTGTTGTGACGACCAACACAGGTGGAAAGACTTCAGAAAAAGACGGTGAATTCCGGATACTTCGACACATTAGAGGCATTCAAGTTGTTTCTGGCTCAACAGCCACCTTCTCAGTATTGTCTTCCGGAGCTGTGGATGAGGTTTGGTGCTTAGAGAGTTCCAATTTAATTTATAGAGTTTTACAACAATATGTCCTGGATAAATTTGTATTAAGGAATAACCTTTGAATGTTTCGAATTTTAGGTAATGTGGCTCAAAAATGGTAAAGAAATCCAGTTAAATGAAAATGTGACAACGAGAGTAAGCGATAATGAGTATCAACTTGAATTCTCTAAAGTGTCTCCTGACGATCACGGCATTTATCAAGTCGATTTCCGGCGTGATGGCAAAATATTTACGTCAGCTGCGTCACTTGTTGTGCTTGGTATTATTTTGATTACAAATTGGAGGGTTGTTCGGAAATCAGTGTATATAGTAATACTGATTTTGCAGATTTATTATGACATAATTACTCAAATTTTACTGCAGATAAACAAAATGAACCTCCCGTTTGTAAACTTCCACAATCCGTGACGGCCAAATCTTCATCGCCCAGTAAATTCATTCTTGAAATGGAGAACGCTGAAAATTTGACAGTGCAGTGGTTCAAAGGATTCAATAAAGTGGAGAAATCTGATCGTATCAAATCAGTTAAATCTGGGAATGCTTTCAAATTAGATTTCAAGGTTAAATTTATGCATGCGAGAGTTTCCTTTTTCATTTGAAGAAATTACAGCGATTTGTTTAAATTGAAAAAAAAAATTAGAAATTCAGGCAAGAGAAAACGAGAATTTTAATTTCAACATTTTCCTCTGTAATTTCAGAGTGTTCAACCTAACGATGAAGGCGTTTATATAGTAAAAGTAATCAAGGATAAGAAAGCGATATGCAAATACGCAGCCGCCTTACTGGTCGAAAAATAGTTATATTATTTACGACACTTATTATATAAATCGATGTAATTTATATGTTAACATTCGAAGTCGAGTGCGCCTCCTCTTTCATCTAATTCATGCCAATTAAAATTGTTATTTATTATTTATGTCATTGTACATAAATGTCGTATAAAATTTCTCGCTTATTGCACTTCTTTGTGCTCAACATTAATACTTTAAAGGTTTTTGATTTATTCATCAGACTTCACGGATTTCATTTTTTTTTGGTAGTGACTCCCTCCTTGTGGGCACAAGGAATTTTTTATTGTTTTAGAATGCACAATGAAACATAATAACCTTGTCGGATCACCGAAATTAAAATGATGTTAAAATAAAATTATTACATTACTGACCAAACAGGATGATGAAATCTTGTAAGTAAAATTAAGGCGATGAAGAGAATATGAACTAACAATGGAGGGGATATCACAAAAGAATTTTGGTACTTAGGCGCGGTTGCAGCGTGGACTATACCAAGGGCCAGCTTGACTTCCATGATGACCTTGGTGGGGATTATCAAAGCTTCATTTTCAACTTTAGATGTCAGCTTTTTCAATCAAATACACACTAACCGTCCACCGCTCTGATTACTTGCTATACTATACTCCTTGCAGCATATTCCCCAACTAAACGAAGGACGGACCCTTATATGTCAATTATTAGGAAACCTATTAATAAAGCAACAATCAGCTATTACCGAAGGCAACGACAAGGGACTTGTTTGGTTAAAGTTAATCATATTGTTTGTTTATTGTATAACTCATTTTTGTCACTGTTCACCAATTTATCGCGTCCTTTATCTTTTTTTCTTACTGTTATTAACTAGCAATATTGTGTGAGTGCAATACTACAACCCCAATAAACTATTATCATTGATAAACGAAACAAGAGATTTATTTTCCTGACATAGCTTGGCAGTTCGAATTGCTTTATTATTCATAACTGGACCACTGCATCAACCAACAACTTCAGGTGCATCGAGAAGAAACTTCTACAACCGAAAAGTGCTAGGGCAAAGTGGTGAGCAAAAAAGATTTTTGGAGAATTTGCATGTGAAAGATTTTAAAGCGTGCGGATCTCGACAAATATTTTTACAAAAAGATTTAACAAATGAATTCAGAGGTTATAAGTTTTCCATTTGGCTGAACTTCATTAATAAGTTTTATACTTCTGAGAAATCCTAGTCAGATGCTCCACGAAATTCAAGTCAGAGTTCCTTGTAATGATATCAAAAAGTTCAAGGGAGAAATAATCTTGAACTTTTGATTTCGAAAGAATTTTAAGGTTCGTGAAAAGTCATAGGGGAATTGCAGCAAGACCACAATCCCCGATAACAACAAATCACCGCAAGCGAAATGATATCGGAATTAACTGAAGAACAGAAATCGACCAAAACGAAAGTCTAGGTATACTAGCAATTTGTCTAATTCCTGCTTTTCCTCGTAGTAGTGCGTTCTGTGCCTTCAAATAAGCATCGCCGAAAATCTAGCTCACTGCCGTAGATGAACCCAATGCAACTCCAGAACTAGACCAAATGAACCAGAAAGTCATGGATCCCACCCCCGCAATTACGTGAGAATGCAAGGTAAAGCTAGACTGTTTGTCCGCAAAGTCCGCAACTAAGGGATCAACTGTTATTAGAGCGCAGCTACCTCCTTACAATCAGAATAGGGTTCTGGAATTTATTTGGAATCCTGTTAATCACTATTATAAAACAAATTTAAGACCGCAGCAAAGCACGAAGTAAAAAAGTGAAATTTCATTATCAAAAAATGCGTATGAAAGGCATTCTTTGAACCCAAGCCAAGCAAAATTTCGACGAATTCTTCGCTTTTAAATGAATCAAAGTCATGCATTTTAGATCATATCATACACAGGCAAATGAAAATCATTTATACGCATGTACACTGTGTCCACAGCATACAGAAGATAAACATAAGAAATTGAAAGCTTCCGAATTTAGCAAAATCGTATTAATACTCTTCACAGACCACTCAATTACGATGGCTCTGCATCATAAAATAAATAAGGAAACAACTACTTTCTTTTAATTTCATTCATAGCATATTTCGTAGCTTTATATAGAATAATAAATGTCACTGAAAACATACAGAATAACGCACAGAAAGCAGTTGTTCGTCAAAACCCCACGAGCTGTACACACTAGAAAAATTTAATTTTAGCAAAGGGCGCTGCATATGAACCTCACTAAATTTTCAGTCGTCACTTATCGAATAGAACATATAAATGAACGATACCTGCGCCAAAAAAATGAAGGAAAAAAATCAAAAATAAATGACACTCGAGCTAGATAAGCAAGAGCCAATCAAAGTTAAAAAATACTGACTAAAAAAATTAGAGTTAAAAAACTGCTGACACAAATCTTACCTAAGGAAAAGTAGAGATAAGTGATTTAAGCAAATGCAATCCCAACAAAACATCCTAGAAAATAGGACCAGCAACAGGACCGAATGATATCATTCCAAAATCCGTTCAATTTATTTAATCAGTTCCCAAATTTAAAATCTATAAGATCAGGAAAGGAGGTTTAATATTATTTGTGTGTTTCAAAATTGTTCCTGAAGACGAATAAAAAAGCAAATGCGTAGTGCAGAGATGAAGTGAGAGCAGATGATAGTGTTTGCAACTACAAATTAGCAAAATTCGCACAAAAGATTGGTTGATTTCACCAAGGGAACAGCACCCAAATCACCATTAATTATCTTTCACTTTTCGAATGCTGAATTAACCACTGCAGTGTTATATCTAAAAAAGCAAGTGGATACACTAACTGGAGATGAGCACATCAAGCATTATGTGATCTTTTATTTTACAAAAAAAGAGAAAAAAGGAAAAGAAAAATGACCACATAATCTTAAAATTGAAATTTCACAAAACTTGAGAGACTGGAACGATCAAAACAGTTTTTGTACCAATACTTCTTAGTGGTGCAGTATAACTTTCTAATTTAAAAAAAAAAAATACAAAATACAAAACGAACCTATATTGTCCTTTTCCTTGCAAGATATCGAATAGCAACAGATTTCTCTGTTCTGGATTGCTGATAAATCCCTGAAAGTAATGCAATGAAATGACTCAAACCGTATGTACATACCAAAAGCGATTTTATATGATCTTCCATTTTTTGAACTGCTGAAGAAACAGGGAATTCATGAAACTTTAACATGTCTAACAATTATGACTTACATCCGTTCAATAAGCTGCCGTTCATCAAGAGCACCAGGAAGGTCTTTTTTATTTGCTAATACAAGCACTGGGATGGAATCAAGCTGTGGCTTATCTAGAAGCTGGCTTAATTCATTCCTAGAAGCCTCCAGTTTATCTTCATCAGCAGCATCGACCATAAAAATGATCGCATTGACACCTCGACAATACCTTTCCCACATAGAACGAAACCGAGGTTGTCCACCAATATCCCATAACTTAAAACAATGTATAATGTGTTACGGTACCGCAACAATTTAAGCAAGCGATGGATATAAAACGACTTAGAAATAACAGTTAAACTGCGGTCAACTAAATTAAGAGTTGATCAATTACACCTCCTACTGGACAACTAAAATTCTTATTACTTCATTTCCCATGAGTATTTGGCAGGTATCCCTGGATATTTTTAGGCTGTTTCTACAGAATTCTATTCTTCTAATATACCGGTGTCCAGGACACTACATTATGAGAACTAAAACAAAGGATAGCATTTCAAACTGTAACCTCCCTCATTAACCGATAGCTGCCGCTGATAGCATCTGCCACTATACTGATTTCCAGAAAGCTACCGACCTTACCTTAATTGTGACATTTCCCTTTGTGATTTTACGCATATTGAATCCGACCGTTGGAATCATGTCTTCAGTGAACTGACCACTCTAAAATTCTAGACTTTTGCAGGGAGAAATACATGAAATCGACTAAATTCTGATTCAAATCAATAAACTTCCAAATCATGTTTAATTTGAATCTGTTGCATTTTAAATACACAAATCTAACTAATACCGCAATAACATTAACAAATGTAGTTTTTCCAGAATTCTGCAACCCAACAAGTGTTAATTCCATTTCCTCTTTCCAGAATAAACTCCGGATCCAATCCAGAACACGATTTATCATTGCCAACATTGCTGCAGTTCTGCTCCTTCTCTCCAACCCACACAAGAACTGAAATGCAGTATACTTCACCAAATGTTTCATGCTTCACGCGAATTTCCGGATTTTGCACAGCATGTGCAGCAGCACTACTAATATGTGCTGAAAAGTCGACGAACAGGAAAAAAAAGAATAATCACGCCAAAAATTAACATGAACAGCTAATTCAACTACGAAAAGTTGATATTTCAAGAAATGACGTTACTTATATTTGATTCAAAGGAGAGATAAACAGCAATGCATTTCGCGATTCATTTATGGCCAGGGAAACATGATCAGTCATCATTTAAAGAAGAGTTGTTTGATTTCAGTGGTTCGTTTTCTCCCAAGAACATCAATGAGAGGTTCGTGGAGCAGTCAGTTTAAAACAAATTCTGAGGAGACGAAAAGTGATAAAGTAGTGGTATGCTGTCTGCATTACCTGCTGTGTAATTAGGAAGTTTAAGTGATAACTCTTAAAGAGAAAGAAATTATATACGGAAGCAGATGTAGTAGCAGTTCGTTGACTTTCAAAAGGTAAGTTATATGCAGAGAATATGCCTCTGAATAGAATTACCCAAGAACTGTTTTGGTCTGTATTCGATTCCAACAATTAGGAAAAGCACACAATTTCTCAAAAAAAAAAAAAAAAGCTGAGAAGCGTTATAGCATCGAAATCCTGACACGTGTGGTTCTTGGGTAGAATTCGGACAACAAATGCTCGAGAATCAATTAGATATTTCCCAAATAGTCACATACTAAAAATTCCTCCTACCTAATACAATTTCACAACACACACAAGGTTAACCTGGAAAAACCCAGAAACTCCCGAAAAGACATCATGAATCCAACTATCATCGGATACAAGTGAGAATTGTAGGATCCGCAATATGTACTGCAGCTAAATGGTTCATAACGCTGGTACTTCAAACCCTTGTAAATGTAATACGTAATGAAAATTGGTTAGAGGAACGCTTAAAATCTCTCGTACTTCGAAATTTGAAGTAAAATTCAAATTTATTCCTTTTAACAGTCAAATAATAGTTGGAGTTTTGCTCGTATAAGCTAGGAAAAGCAAACGCTCGCTCATTACTAATTAATTGCAGTTGATTGCCTTCCAAACATTAGATGCATACTACACCAGAAATAATATTCTTACTTCTTTTTCTATGAAAAAACAAGCTCTTTTAATTTCCTATGCTTTTTCATACCTACTGCTGATATTGGGCATCGTTTTGAGACATTGCTTCAAGTTTCTCTGAATCTCTTCTCTCCTTTCCTGTAGCCTCTTCAGCTGCAGATTCGAATATATATCAATGTAAGCATCATCTTAAACCTCATTCTTGGGAATCTATTCGGAGTATTATGCGCCACGCACACGGGAGATGATTTATATTGAATATTTGAACAATTCTGATAAACTACTTCTCGCTCCCATTCCATCTCCCCTTCCGAAAGTGTTCCGCAGCATCGCGAGCAGTTAAGAATATCGATACTACTTCCGACACTTTCATAATTTTAATATTTTTCTCATTTAGCAAATGCAAGTTTTAGAGTTACTGGCTAACATTTTTCAAACATTCACATTCACAAAGTATTTTCAGCGATATAGTGTACCTCCCGTGCTCAAGTCTGGGATTTTTGCGTCCGCATGTATTATTTAGCAATTTTGGCAAAACAAGGATTCTTTGACTTGGAACCCAACAAGCATATTCCACACTCTTCACGCGACGCCGTCTGCAGAAGGTATGTACTTACCACATGCCGCATACTAGTTTCTTTTCAGTTCCCAATCACCCATGTTTACCACAAATTTTCATTCTACCCCCCAGTAAATATAGACCATAACGTCCTACTGCTAGCACTAGATCAAGAACTTGTTTGTAGTCCTGCATTGCTCCTTGGAGAGAAAATCCAAAACTCTAAGACCCACAGATCCCTGTGTCGAGATGAATACAGACCTCACGGATGTAAAAATTGCAATTACGTACCATTGCTCCCGCAATTATTTTGCCTCTTTTACAAGGTGCTCGCCACAAAACACCAAACTCTTTATTGCGCAATAGGAGTAATACGACAGCGAAATATATCAATATACGATTTCGATATGCTAAGACAATGAGAGATCCAAGATGAAACAGGTACTACACGGATTACATATATGAAAGATTCAGTCCACAAACACACCGGAAACAATCGAAAGTGAAGTGGGGCAAGAATGTACCATATTATGAAAATGCAAGAATAACATAAGGCATATTGAAGTGACAGGCAAGAACATTTATTGCAGGAAAAGTATGGTCGATTACATATATAACACGGTAAATTTGCATAGTTCTGGGAAAATGAACAATACAGGTACCGCGCTCTTCAATAAAGCTTGAAGAAATTTAAATGAGAAAAAAAAAAAACAAGCTATGCAAAGAGGACTATACAATATAACTACGGGTGTAACTAAAGCTATCAGCAAAGAAATGCAACCGCCCACCACGATCCCTGTTATTCTACCCATTACCCAACTTATTAAATATCGTCTCCGAATGCTACCTGAAATGTTTAACATTCCTTCATTAACTTCAATTGCAATTTCCAGCCGAAGAAATTACCGAACGGACCGATAATTGATCCAATGTAATCCTCGTTCAAAAAAGTACGAAGTCATGTTAGATACGACTAAATAACGAAACGAAGCAGAGTTAAGAAATTTAAAGTTTAGAATAACCCACTCCAAATTAAAAACAAAAAGTTTAACAAACGATGAAAAACTTCGAATTGTACAAAAACAACATATATCCATACTGCTAAGAAATAAAGTGTTCGCTTTCACCTACTTTTAAACTACCTATCTGAGGTAAATGGACCAAAGCAGATTGCAAAGAATAACTTCCCAATGCACATCCATTCATATTATTGCGGAAAAGCTGCCAAAATCCAAAATCCTGAGTAGCAAGAAAAAAAAATTTCTTGTAATGCCAGGGATTAGAAAAACTACGCTAAAATTATAAAATCTTTAAACTAATGGTTGGTTTCTCCCACGAACTTTTGTATAACATCTTTCACAGAATAATTCGGGATGACTTCTTCCATAGAATAAATTGTGGTCATTAAATATCCCCAAATTCTCAAAAGCTACTCTCATAAGGACAATGTGATGAACAGACCTCGAATGTACATGAAATATTAAAGCTACGAGCGCAAATACATGGAATGAATGTGCATGTTGAGATCAGAGAGAAACTGAGTCTCGTCATCTGTGAAAGGTTTGAACATTGGGATGGGAGAACGTTTATGTTCTTCATGAATTCGTTCCAAATTTTTGTTAACATATTCCACACAATCTGCTAAATCTGAGCTTCGCAAAGGTGAATGAATATTCAACTGTGATTGGTGCTGTCCATCATCTGAAAGCTCTTCCAAATGTCGACATGCATAATAGCATCGCGTTACAAGATCCGTCAACTCCGCCTAAAACAATTATATGTTTAGGAAATCTTTAAAATTTTGATAACGCCTTGCCCAACAAATTTACTGATCAAAAGCAACTTCTATTATTCAACCAAACCTACTTGAGGGAAGATACATTCTCCGATACGTTTCATGAAGGAATCAATGCGAGCAGACAAGGTTGTTTCAAACTCAACACTTGAATCAGTATCTTCGTCACAGAGTTGAATACTGTGAGAAAAACTCTGCGATATATTCTGTGCAGAGAGAATTGAATTGATTACCACACGTTCAAGCTCTTTCTAGAAAAATGTAAGGGGCCATGAAACAGATCTAAAATCCACACAGAATACTGTAAAACACATGTCCAAAATATCAATAACTAGGAATTCAAATAAAAAAAAGGAAAAAAAGGAAAAAAAGGAAGGAAGTTGTTGTTATCAAAACTTCTCATCACGATAAAACTTAATGTTTAATTTGCATTGAATTTAAAAAGCGCTGATAAAAATAAAATGTAACGGAGCCAAAATCGACTTCAATGAATGGTTAATAACCATTATGAGTTATACCTGTTCACTATAGATAGAATTAAAAGCTGCATGTTCACGATTATTTTCATTGGAAATAAAATTCCCAACATCATATTCCTTCGCCAATAATATTGTAGTTAAACTACTCAATCGTGCGTTCAAATCACTTTGCCTAAATTAATTTACTGAAGAAGTAACCATATTTACTGCTTTGAGCTTCCCACTAGTAAACTTTGCACATACGCCCTTAAATACAATGGCACAGTTCTTAGGCACCTGCTTACTTGGTGGTAACTGAAAACTTACTGACTGCTGACGAAGCCAGTGTGCTGCAAAGAGATAGCATCAAATCTCAATTGACCAATTAATCTTGGCAAGATTACTTTGTGGAACTGCTCCGTTGACGGAATTTGATATCTAGGTTGAAGAAAGCGAAGTAAATTCCGGAAGCCAATGCGACTAATAATTGCTGGTGACTCGTTATCCAGAAGTAGCATTATCCCAATCTGCAAAAGCAACTTTCTTCTGCCAAACTTTGGAAAGAGAACGGGATCGGAGACGATGCTAAATACTGCTGCCGAGGAAAACAAATGGGTTATCCCGAAAACTGTGTTTAGTCCTTTCCAAATGCTTGGTGAAAACGAAAACTAGCAACAAATAATAAAATAGAATAAATTCGCAGTGTCTCAATCACAGAAACTGTAACAAAGACGGAAGGCTTGTACTGGAAAAGAAAAAGTCTGTTATCACAAAACACTTACTGATTTAAGATCCTGTTCTTCATACGCGTTCAGAGATCAAATCCCTCACAAGCGTTAAAAGTCACGCAGAATTTAGTGGTTTCTGTGCCCATGAATATGTTTATCGATTTCAAAGTCTAGCTCTCGCTTTCTTATAATTTTGAGAGAAATATTAATTTATGAATCAAGAATATGGTTAGCAAAATAAGAGTGGGAGAGCGCTACAACGAGACAACTGCAGTTCACAGACAAAAGAGTTTTGAAAGAAAAGAAACCAAAAAAGGGCAGAAAGCAAGAGAATGTTCCAGTTGAGCACAGGATTACTGAGTAAGGGAATGTTTTCCAGATCCAGAATATCTCTTCCAGAATACTCCGAACGCAGAAAACGCACTTCAGCAATTCAGAACAGTGGCACGTTGTTGTAGCCTTAGTAAATAAGCTAAAGGACATATATTTAAAAAACAGCGGAAAACTGACCTGATCCGAAATCCTTTGCGCATCCGGATGATCATCCGGCCACAAATTTTCCCTCACTACCCTAGTCTTTTCCGCTTGTTCTTTGCGATTTATTCTGTTTTTTGGTTCCAATCGCAAGTCAACGGCATTGCAACACTCATCAAATTTTGCTTTCTTTTGTTCGGGACCATTATCTGCATATATATAGCGAATACTGTTTTCCAAATGCTTACGCTGAAAATCAAAACTGTTTTTCAGTTGAACAAAGGAAACAGTTTCAAGGTTGCCCGCAGCTATACCATCATGAATAGGGGAGTTTTCTCACATGTGAATCCCTGAAATTAAAAAGGTCATAAAATAGCAAATCGGCATAATTACATAAAAACTCAGTACAAAAAGTGTGCCATACCCTTATATCGAATGTAGTAGCGATAATGTTAGCGACCGAATGGCTTGCCACATCTCTTGACTTCTTTGTTGGATTATTCTGCCCGATGTTCAAAGTTTCGTTCTCTGGAAATAACGAACTTGATTTGAAACGAACTTTTAGTTACTCCATTAGCACTATTTCCGACTTCAAATTTTATCTTAGAAAACAAACATGCGACCTTGCTTTGAAGTAGCATTATTTTGTCGTGCGGCTTGCAATATTTGGTATTCACTGGAATGACAGCTACGCAAATGGCGAATCATACCTGTCGTACTGAAATCCCAAATCTATCACATTGTTTTTCCAAACGTGTTTTATAGATCAACGCACTAATATAGTGGAATAAAAGCAAATCAGTCAATGTATGTTTTATTAATAAAAATCTCTCAATAAAACACCGGAAACTTCGAATACGGACAAAATAACAACTTTTACAAATTGCGAGTGCAGTATAATACCCACAGTGAAAACAGTACCTGCTATTCGTTGCTTTAATCCTCTTACAACATATTCTGCACTCAGCAGCTTGTTCTTCGCTCGGTAGCTGGATAAAATATTTCCACACTTTAGCCGTTTTCATAGTGGAACCACCCATCTTATGCCGGTATGACAATGTCTAAGTGCAACTATTTCAGTTATCGGTAAAATGCAATTAATTTTTTGAGCGCTGAAATGAAATGGTAGAAGATAAAGACTGCGCGTGGCTTGGACATGACAGCCCTCAGCAGTGAAATCGCTCGCCTTCCAGTGGTTGCCAGAACTTTTTGCAATGGATGCAGACGCTAGTAACATTGCTGCGACCTATTTGAGGCAAATGTTTACTATAATTGAGCCTAGAGGAAGCAAAGTTAATTTTAATGCAATTTATTACTATTCAATGTAGTGACCATATCAAGCGAAGAATTTCATCAACAGCAGCATTATCTTTCTAAATCTCATGAGCTGAAACAGTTTAGGATAAGAAGCTGTATGCAAAATCACGAAATTCCCGAAAATCAAAGGGAACTATGAAAAAGGATGCGTTCCGAAAAATTATGCCACACAAAATCTTTAATAAGGCAAAGTTATAGGAAGGAATGTTACTAATTACTTGAGTGCTCAAATCCCTTTCACAGAAATTTGTGAATGATTTTCATCTGCGCTAGAAAACAAGCATAAGTTGGTTACATGCCAGTTCGTTGGTATGTATACTATTATTCCGGCACATCCCTAGTTAGAGAAGCATTACTTATTTATAAAGTGCTCATTCTTATTTATAACAATGCATGTAATAAACTCCATCATCTTATTTCTTCCATTTCCCAGCGTTATGTTTCTGTTTCCTACACACATATCATGGCAGGTTCCTGTATTTTATGCTCTAGCCCCTTGTTCACAACTTCCAGCATCTTGTTCTTTGTACGACTTCAATCTCTTTCTAGGGAAGCAAAACTAAGTAAAGCAAGGTGCTAACTGCATCTGCCCTTCTGATATAATATATGTTTCATGATGTATTCCTAAAACTTACTAACTTGACTTAGGGCAAACAATTAAAGATATTAGCATACGTATCCACGCGGTTTAGGTGCCACTTCCTACACGCTATGTTAAATAACAGTGCATGCATTCCCAATTCATGCCCTCTTCACAATGCTAAAAGCAGATGTCTAATTCTAATACTACAGTGGTACTGCAAAATAACTGTACGGCTAAACAAAAATCCCCAACTTCATTAGCAGAGATTGCCGCAATTTCTGTACTGTGAGTTCTACTTGCATTATGAGTACACTCAGTTCCAAACGGTGCATTACCTTCAGAAAAAAAACGTTCATTTGTCTGGACGCACTAGTAAATGTCCAAGTGGGTAGGACGATTCTTAGATTACAGGGTTGAAAGTGAACGTTTAGTGATGCAGGACAAAAATTATTGCAATGCATCGAAAAATTCCTACTATTCAGTTACCCACTAATAGGACTTCACCTCGAAATCTCGACTCAAAAAAAGGAACAAACTGTTAGCCTTGACGTAAAAGCATTCATTTCCTACACTACTGTGACCGGAACAAAGATTGTTAAGGCTTCTCCGAAATTTCGGAATCTCAACCGGCGATGAGTGTGAAGTACCGAAAAGCCTCGACTACGTCACATGGTATTCCACTTCCTACAATTGTCCGTCGCCTTCACATAGCAAAGCAAACTGCCCCTTCAGAACAGAAAAGCGTATAACAGGAGGGACGTTACGCCACTCGCGAAGCTATTAAACATATCATCTGGACCGAAATGCTTCTGTCGCTTACTGAATTCATGGACAGCACCAAACCTTGGGGGATGAACAAAAAATTTTTATAAGTTGGTAGACAAAAGGCAAGAGGAACACGCTGCAAGAGTAACTGTTTCAGAAGGAAGGTAAGTGAAGAGATAGGAAGTTCGGTAAGCGGGAAAAATAAGCAAAATGGAACAATGGGTCATAAAAAGTGCATAGTACCTACTCAGGAAGGAGAGGTTTTTATCCAGTATACCTTTTTAAAATTTCTCGTACACAGAAACGAGACATTTGCTGTAAATAAAAGCACACAAAAAAAGGAAAAAAAGCACAACGGAAACTTACAGAACGTGGTGGACGAGCACAGCAAATCTACACATCATCACAGAAGAGGCTACAAGTCATTAATGAACTTACCTCTTCAACAAATTTCGAAGCTCAAATGAAGACCAAAAAACTGCATCCGAGCAAGACATAACGAACAGTAAGTTGACCTCCCCCATGTACCAAAATTAAGCAGACGCACGAATTTTCACTAACAACTTGGATACCCAGTGTCCTTTTACTCAGCATTTTCTATTTTACACCCGCCTCCTGTGCTTAAACGAACTTGATTAAACTACTGGCAGTTCAGCTCTTTACCAGATGAAAGTTTCAAAAACGGAGTCAGACTAAGAAGGTAAGCTACGTTCCTCACCGCAAATAAAACGGAATCAAAGCATCATACTCCAGGGAAAACCCGAATAATTATTATTAAAAAGCCGACTTAACTGCCAACTATGGAAATGAAAATTACGGGAAAATTCGGCACGACATGTAATCATGAAATTACTGAACTTTCACAGCAATCCATAATAACTTTGCACGAAGTAAACGAATCCGCTTTCAAGATTGGTATCTATAGACTAAAAAGTATTTCACCATGGATTCGGAAATTTTGAAACAGCATAACAAATCTTGACCATGATGTGAATAAGCAGCTAAGCCAGGGTGTCCCTATCAAAATGAGAATTACCAGAGGTAATATTTATCATCCCACTGATATTTGGGAAAATTTACTCTATATTTCTGATTGTGAAAAACGCATATAGACATGCAGACTGGATTACGAGCCGCATGAAATTTTAAAGAACTACCATAACTAATATGATAATAATTTGCCAGTTGAAATTCAAAACTTACCGCAAACCAGACGTGAACTGATACAATCTTACTATAGAAATGATTATTTCGACAAATAGGATTCCATGGAAAATTATTAGCAGGTGACGAAACAAGGCAACAACTGAAAGGCTAGTATTCGGAATATTTTCATAAAAGAACCTGAATAGGAAATAAGAGGTAATGAAAGAATTGCAAAGGATAACCAAAATGATGAACGAAACAGATTTCACCGAGAATGGAACAGGGAGGGTTACTTTTTCAATGGTCAATACCTGCATATATTATAGACCTATTCACAATATTGTCGTCATGATTACCAACACTACTGATGTTGCTTTTACTACCATCATTATCATAATTAGAGGAACCATAACAGTTTTCAGTGACAGCATCATTGCTATCAGTGTTCATCATTATCAAGTCGACAACATTATAAGAATGATTTAAAAACAAGAGATCTGTTCTGCAAACTGCTCATCCTCACAGAGTACAACTACAGCTACTTCAAGCTGTCCCACATTTTCCATTTTGAGTATTGGGTAAAGGTTGATCGAAAAGTGATTGTACATAAACAAAGGAACAGGGGGAAGAGAGGTGATTGTCGAGGAGACAGGCGTGGGAGCAGGCGAGAGGCAACGGGCTGGATATTTCGCTCGATTGCTTCCTAAAAAGCCTTCTGAGAAATACAAACGGGATGGAGGAAAACGAGGAGAGACCCCACGGCGGGCAACCAGTCATCCACCCGAACCTATCCTTATCTCAAATACAGAAATAGATAATGTGAAATTGCCACCGGATTTCTTAATTAGATCTTTCCAAACCCAAAACGTTTCATTGTGATCGATCTGGAAGAAAATGCACAGCTAATCTGTGAGAGATTACAAAATACCAGTAGCAAGATTCAAAGAAATCCATGAGAAAATGCTTGCCATAACGATCAAGATGGTAAAAATGCACTATTTAGATATAGATCGTCCTGAATAATTTAAAAACTATTTTAGATCATGGCATAGTTCACTAAGCGTATTTGGATTTGCTCAGCACAGCCAATAAATTACCCTTGAAAGTTATAGGAATGAATTCATGGAAACGATTTCGAATTACAATGCAATCCTCAGAAAAAAAAGCTCTCGTAATAGTGCAAATCATACGGACTTTCATAAAAGCAAAGTGCCTGCGACGAATGATAAACAGCTAGAACTACCTGAAGAGGATACACACGCGCTCGTTCAAAAAGCCAGAAAATCAAAACAAAAAGAATTTGAAGATATTACTCATTTTAGTGACGAATTCAAACTGAAAACACGAATTTATATCATGGCAGTAGATCCATAGTTCTCCAGTTTTTGAAAAACGAACAGAGGAATTCTTCGAAATGCAAAATCGTTCATTCTTCAGACGGAGGTTGTATTGAGCAGCTTATATGAGGGACAGGGCCTTAGGCGATTCTCGGCACAATCTGAAACCGGAATTCTTCCAAACAGCAACTCCCTCCTCGCACCCGCCCAGCAAATTTATAAAATGTGTATATCTCAGTTTGTGCGTATCTGTATGTCCACGACCTATCTTTTCAAAAGCACACAATGATGCGCACGGACCAACACATGCTCAAAGGACTAGTTTTGAGAGCATCTGTTGCTCTCAAATACAAACTACCATCCTGTCCACCCCTCTTCTTTCTCCCAGAACCATATTCCCAATCATTTGCAATTTGGAGAGGAAAATTCCAAATTTCTTAATCCAACAACATCCAGTTCCTTAAGCTAATTGTTCGCAGTTTCTCAGTAAAATTCTGTCAACAAAGTGAGACCATTCAAACTCCAACACCTTTTCATCCTCATCTTCATTGCACTGACGCCCAGTACACGATTACAAACACAGTTGACCTACTTTTGCAAGCAAGCAAGGTGTTTTGTTGGAGCAGCTTATGTCTCCCGAAAAGAGTCCGGTAAGGGCACATTCATGCCGAACACTATCTTGTACAGGTTTGCTCGGGAAAGCTCATGATGTCACACTTTAAACATTTGTCCAGTCCATTTACCGGTGATCCGTATGACTTGGTTTTGACAAAAGTGGAACTGTTCATTTGACAGAAGCTTCTCACAGAATTCCTGTTATGCTTCAACACAGCCCTTTCCACATTGCAATGATGCGCCACAGCTGACCTAAGAATGTAGCAAACGAATTCACTACATGAGTAACACCAGATTTCCTGCAAAAGGAGGGGTGATTCTGCTCGGTCGAATCAAAATGTGGACATCACATCGTTCAATGAATTTAGGAAGAAATCTTCCAAACAGAGTCAAGTGAATTTCATATAGTCAACATTAACACGGATGTAAGAAAATGAGATAGCAGTTCGAACGCGCTAAGCAGCCATTCCGTAAGGTATATCCGAAAAAGACAAAACAGATACAAAGGATCAGTTGACAATTACGGAGGAGCAGAGGTGTTAGCAGAAGGGTGAAGAGGTGAGCAGTGCCGTAGCATCCTTCATTATCGCCATCGTTGTTCGGGAAGGAGGTCGAGGAGGCGAGGGGATGGAAAATGATGGATTCAAACAAAGAGGTAAATAAGGAGGGAAGGAGGGAGTTTCAGCAAACAGCGGCACTGTTGCAGAAATAGTGAAGAGCTCTTCCTATTTCTGTTCTTGTTTGCGAGTAGTACAGATCGAAGCACAAAGGACCACAACGACGCAGTTTTGCGTTGTCGTGGATCTCAACGATCAACTTACGAACCGAGTTCATTTGACGAACTGCATTTAGGCCTGTTTCGCTGCTTCACTCAACTTTAGAGAAGGGCATGGTGCAGTATGGGATGATGCACGGAGGATTAAGGCAAGGGGACGGTGGTGACCGTCATTGTCGTTGTTGTTGGAGGGAATTTAAGATTAGAAAATACGGGTACGGGAGTAACAGAACAGAGCCATAAGAACCCTCTCCTCTTTCATCCTTCCTCCTATGCTGCCTGGCCCTCTCCTCCTCCGTGGGGTGCACCCATTTTCAACCATTTTTGAAAACCAGATCTCACTTCCGCCACTTTCCCCTCACTCCCTCCTACTTCTGCCATACTATGCCTCCCTCTTGTTTCGCCATGCCAATCACATGTAACCGCTCTACTCGTACTCAGTCACTTATCCTTTCTTCTTTACCAATCATTTACCGAATACAGCGCTTCTATGCTTGTTTCTTTCAGTGATTTCAAAAACGATCAACAAGTGCTTGGAACATCTCGAGATGCATGTTCCTGAAATTAAGGATCAGAATTTCTACTCTATTCGCTGTTTATCGCATTGAATTATCTGAGCTGCCTCTTACAAGAAACGAAGTAACGCTGAAAAATGGATAAGCTAGGGATCAGCAAATTCGGGAAGAAATTCAGCAGATTTGTATGTTTACAGAAACGTCAACCTGCCTCTAGTAGTGGGTTTCCCAAAACATCACTGAGAACCACCAGATTTGTTTTTCTTTCACGGTTAAAAATAAAATCATTTCTAGAGAATAGTATCTTCAGTTTGGTGATGAAACCAACATAGAAATGGTATGATTTCTGAGGAATAGATAGCGAAGAGCATCTGGTTTTCCTCCGTTTCATTGAAAGGATGTCATTCCTTTTTAAGAAAAGAGAGAAACAAGATTCATTTACTCCTAGGTCATCCTCTTTCTTCCCTTGCAAGATAAGTCCGTCTCCTTTTGAAGCTGTATTGTAGTTCATTTCCTTGTCGGCACTCCTCGTATATCTCCCGACACCGTCTCTCGAAGCTAACGAAGAAATTAGTAAATAAGCAATTGGTGTTGGGAAAGAGACTTGTCGTATCCACCAATCACAGGGTGACAATTCTTCCTTCCTTCAACCCCTGACCGACATAATGCAGCATGCTTCTCCAACATGTTTTTGAAATATGTCTCTTTGATTGAGCGAATGTACAATTTGCTTCAGAAAGGAGATGCTCTGCATGCTCATCCTGCTTGACATATCATTCGTTTTCTTACTGATTACTGTTTTTTATTCAATAACTTGCAAATCCGAGGGGGTAGAGAAATGCGACATCTGTAGAATTCACGAAGACTTCGTAAGTCCTACAGGGAATGTCTAGGAAACTTTAGTTAATTTACTACGAGGGATTCTCGAACTTAAAGGTAATGATTTCAAGTTACATCCAAAATCATCTCTCAAAATTTTAAACTCTGAAAAAGGTCAACCTTTTGCTATTTATGAAGATGTTAAAGATTTCTATCACGCATCGTCGTCTTTTTCAAGTATGCCAATGCAGACACTGACAGTGTTCGAAATTCAAATCGGGAACAAGGATTCCATGAGTTACAGTAATTTCAAAAGGGAAAGAGTTAAGCATAAAATGGTTTACGATTTCTTCATTACGATAGGGAAAAGTGAACGCCATTGTACATTGCACTAGCTGTTAATCAATTTCATAAATCAGATCGTTTGACATACAACTGAAGAGTATGGCGTACTTTGTTATTGGCATTCCAGCCCTGATTTACTAGACGTGCATATTGTGTTCTAAAAATAAAGGTGCGATACTGGATCAGTATTGCAATACAGCAACACAAATACAAATTGTGCACCTAAATTGTTTTCCTAAAAATACAATCTGTCGAGAGTATACTTGCATACATTGGATCAAACATAATTATCGCTTCATTTCAACGTTTGGAAGTAAAATTTGTGCCGTGAAAACATTGACTCAAAGGGTATTACAAACAATTTTGGCATACATCTTTCTTGTTGACAAGTCAGTTAAAAAAGATTCCCGACACTACACTGTTATAAAGGTCATAAAGAGCATATGGGTGCATATCAAAAGGTCTGAAGAACAAGAGGCATACCGTAGTGTTTCCAACGTATAAATCATGAGAGAGGAGACGTAATTTCACTATGTTCACCACAGTCGGTAGATTCAACAACTACTTGACTCATTCGAAACAAACGTTCTTCTCCTTAAGACAAGAAATGACCACCTAGTGTGATGACCTAACTAACCACTACCACACTTCATCTTAAACAAACCTTTCAGGAAATTCTTCCTTTTCAAATTCAAATATTGGCCGTAGCCGCTTTTTGTTGCACTACCTGGCTGTCACCATCAGTTCTAATGGAAATGATGCGACACGTTCTCTTCTGAGCTCTGGATTTTTGGTTTTCTGCTATTTGCTTCAAAATGAGAAGCCCTCAGTTCAAGGTATGGAGGCTGATATCAACGGGTATGAAATATGAATATAACTGATTCTACTCGACTGTCGTAAGTACAGTTGTAAATTTAGACAGTCTCTATAACCTGATTGAAAGATTAGTATCCTGTAGGGATTTTTATATCAACTAGTTCCTTTCTGCTCTCTACCCTTCACATGCAGTCTTTCTAAGTTTCTGTGATTTAGCAACGACAGTGAGGAGCAATACTTTGTGTTCTTTATAGAAACACTCGCCTTTTATAGGTAGTTTTATTATGAAGTCTTTCATCAAGTAGCCACAGTTAGTCCCGAATATTGTCAGACTTCTGAAGAAAATTCACAAATTATACAAATTTTTAGGAAGAAATGTTGGCTGCGATATGCGAGGAATAGTGTTCTCGTCATGGATATGGGTAACGATGAAACAGACGACTTAAGTGGTGCATTCAGACAAGGCTTTCTATGTCCGTTTTGTATGCAAGATTTAGGTGACTTAACCACTTTACATGCTCATGTCGAAAAATACCACCCAAAATCAATACCCGCTGATCACTCCCTTGATCATATTAAAGGTAAGATTACATGAATTTAGCATTCTTAGATTTCCTGTATGTGGCATTAGATTTTCTTGGTTTTTTTTTTTTTTGTCTGTCGCAAAAAAAGACCGCAGAGATATAAGATGAGATGGAACGATTTTTCAGGTATCTTCGATAAAGCGAAACAAAAAATTTCGCATATAGATGCATCCTTTTTAATTGGTTATGCAAACTCGAATAATGGAGGATCAGCACCAATTTCAAGGAGTGTTTACAATTTCGCAAATAATCGCGTCGAAAAACTTTCTCATGCAGCACACAGCTTTACTTCTTTGCAGGATCTTGGTAAGTCTGATCAACGTAAATATCTATATTATGTTTTGTCACTGAGGATTGGCAGTTATGGGTGATCTGGTAAGCTATAAGAGGATACATGAATATTTTTTCTCATTTCTAACTAACACTGAAGCTCTAAAAACACTGCTGAATGTAATAATATTTCCATTGTTCTCCTTTCTCAGGAATTACAAGGAGTCATACGGATTTTTACTTGAAGTGTCGGTCCCCTTGTATAAACGACGCTGCTGTAAAAACGAATGGTTTGATTATTAGGCTTGATAAGTTGATTAATCAACGCCCCTCTGATTCAAGTAAGCGCAAAGGTTGGCACATACCGCCTTCGAATTTAATGTATTGCCTTAATCTACTTTGTACCCACTGAAAGTAACATTTCCGTTGTAACAAGTGAAACCAATTTTACACTTTTCAGTCTCAGCTGCAGTTCTTGCCGTTAAAATAGAAATTGTTTATAGCTTTTGAACGCGAAACAGTACCTTGGGTAACCGATTGTGATGTTCTGAGATGCCGAACATGTTGTATGAAATTTTCATTGACTAAGCGACGGCACCATTGCCGACTATGTGGCGAAATTATATGTCGCGCATGCTCACAGTTCCTTTCGTTTGTCGATGCTCGTGCGTTTTTCAAACTTTCACTATTGCAGAATCATTTATTTCATAGAAACGTAATCCTCGTTTGTGTGAAATCGTCATGATAATTATTGTGCCACAACTTGTTGTTATTACTGGTAGTTGTGGTTTTCTTTTTTATCTATTTTGACTGTCTAGTCAATTTTTGATAAAATCTAGTGGTATCGTATATATCAATATTACCTCCTAACTTTGGTTACATATGCTTATATTTTTGGGGTTAGTATTTCTCAGCATAGCTGTGGTATATTTTCAGGCAAATTAACGAATCCAGCATTTGCGGCACAGTTGCTGGAAGAATTAAGTAGTTCAGAGACAAATATTCCAGAAAAACCATTAAGTCATTTGTCACCTTCCATGTCTGTTGCTGAAGCTATTAAGCAAACCATATCTAGTGAATCATTGCAATCAGTACGATTAAAAGGCGAAAAATTATTTTCCTCAACGTTGTCATTGGTGAAACGGGACGGCACTGAAGTCAGTTTAGCGTCGCTGCTTCAGCAGGTTGTTTTAACTTTTAAATCATGATCAGTTTTACTGCTACTTAGCTATTTCGGTTGAGTATTACGTCTTTTATAAGATTGTTCAAGCTTATCTCACCAAACTTCTCTGCCAACATCGTTTTTCCCTCATGCTCTAAAATAAATTAACCAAATAATTTTTGTGATTAGTTTTATAAAATTATTGGGCGTATTCTATTTTCTAGGATGAAAATGAACATTTGAGAATTTGTGCGGAATGTAAGGTTTTGTTGGATGTTCGTAATGAAAAAATGGAGATGCTTACCTCACCACCGATGCTTGTGGTATTGTATGAGCGTCTTTGTTCTCTTATTCGTGACGGTCAAAAGTTAGCTTCCTCCTATGAACGTATTTCGAAATCGCTAAGGTAGTTGGTAATTTTATGCTTCTGGTAGTTTTGATTTTATGGTAATTTTATGCTTTTGTTAAGGCATCATTACTTTTGTAATATTTCAGTGCTCATGCCTTCGATTAAATAAGTATTTTGGAGCTATTTTTGGAGTGTAGCTCAAAATTCATTATTTTATAAATTTTTGAAGTTCTGTTGAGGTTTTCAGCCGAGGAGAGACCATGTATACATTGGATTCTGCTATTCAACTAAGAAATCGATTGATACAACTGCAAAAAGAGATTGATTCTATAAGGTTAGTAGAATGCGCTTGTCTTTTTTTCGTTCTAAAATCATTAACTGGGAAAAGCTTGAACGTTATACTTCAATTTAGTTCTCGTGTTGAGACACATCATGTCACTGAAGGAAATACCTCCGAACGTTGTACACCACAGGAGCAGGTCATCCGAAAAAATATTCGTGATTTTTCTCTGCAAATGCTGCAGGTTCCATTTCACTTCTACTCTGAGGAACCTTTCCAGAATTTAGATGTTAATTTTTCCCATTCAATCATTTGTTTTATTTCACATGATTAGATTAAGTAGTGCTATGTGATCTCTTCATTGTATATTAATTTATTATCTAAAATTATTGTTTAGCAATTAGTGATGCAAATGAATCTTCATCCATCTGAAGATCGATATAATGAATTGCAAGAAAAAAGACGTGCTGATATCAGACATCGAGTAGACATGGAAAGAAAGAGAAATGCATTCATTTTGAAGGTTTGTGGTGCTTTTATTGAATTTTCATAATGTCATCCTTAAAATCTTTAACTTCGTTGTAAATTCTAAAGTTTCTTATAAATTTCTCCCTTATGCTTTTTAGCCGTCGACCTCAAATCCCGGATTTGGCTCATTTTTAAGCGAAACAGAAATGGTTCGGCAAAATTCTAAGAATCGCTTGAAGGAATCTGTTTCCTTTTCTGGTATCGTTACCAGTTGTGAAGATTATGGCTGGACTCCATCTAGAATTTTTCTTCACACTAATCCATTTATTGAAGAGGAAGATAAGGCTGATCCATTGCAGGAACAAATCTTGATTATCAAGGGGTTAGTTTTATATAGGTGCAAGAGTCCGCGTTATATCAGTTTCGTCATATTTCTTTTTAGAATTTGCTCTTGGAAAAAAAGATTTTTCCAAACTTCCACATTTTACTTTTGAAGTGGGGTAGTAGTATATTAATTTTCAGGTATTTAAAACAAGCTGTGGAGGATAGCCGATTGGAAGAAATTGAAATATTGGAACGAAACTTATGCGACCTTGAACGTGAAATTGAAAAACTGAACAAAAATACTTCTTCAATGCAGTAACATCTCCCTTCCTCTTGCCTTCGTATAATTTGTTAATACTACGACATCATGTTGATATCAAGCCTCAAAACGCTTTCTTCATCTGACATGTCTTTTGGTATTTGTGTTTGCTTTCAGATTTTAAACTCGGCCTTTTAAGTGATTTAACTTGATAATATTTTTGTCTATACCTGTAAATCCAAGAAATAGTTCATTTTTCATTCGCTATTTCAGCGCATTATTTTGTTATTCACTGTAGTTTATGTTCCATTCAGGTATATGTTTATATGTCATTATGTGTGATTATGTTTAATCGCTTGCTTAGCAGTAAATTGCGTCAGTTTTTTATGAAATAGATAATGAATAGGTGCTATGAAAGATGCATGGAATATGATTTTCAAGGCTGATGTTAGTCATTCGGGGTATTAGCCATTTCATAGGGGTTATTTTATGGGACGAAAGAGAAAAGATTAACTGTACCATAAAATTTGCGTCAAAACAACGAACTGATCAAAGGGAGTTTCTTGTAGTGCCACTTGGAAATGAATGTGAGGTCTTATTTTTCACTCTTTCGAACGATGTGCACATGCAAAATATGTACTTGTTTTCCCGCTTATAAGTGCTTGGTATTGATCGGCACATTTCATGAAATAGAAACAAATAACATCAGTTGCATTTTTCGTTTGAGTTGAAATTTATCCAGTTTGCGAAGTACAACAGATGTCAATCAGACCTCTTTGAAATTTTGGAAATTTCAGTACATAACAGTGGATGTGCAGCAGTATAGAAAAATTGTGTTTTGTGTCTTACGATATGAAATTTATAAACCAGGAACGGAACTGTTGGAGAAGAAATTTTGTTGTAAATTGTTGGAGGAAATGGAGAAGATTTGTCTGAATTGTTCCATTTGGTTCCGTAATAGGGACAATTCGGCCCGCAGAATATGGTTCTCTTGCTGAAGTTGGTCACATCGTAGTTGCGTTGATTCTTCTTTTTGACGCCTCAGTTCTCGAGATTTTCTGGCTGATTCATTGTTTTTCATTCTACGTTCACGATATGCCTAAAATTCTTGAACGAAATAGGAATGAAATTCTAGTTAAAACTAATTCTAATTTTAAGAATGAATAATGAATGGTGACAATAATCTCTTACAGTTCCAATGTCATATATTTGCTTTTGATATATACCTACGACAAAATCTGGCATACATCCTGTATTTCAGCAGCCGTAGGGAAAAGCTCTAGGTAGGCTGATAAGCTAGTTGTCGAAGCGGTCCTTTCATGAGATGTACTTACCTCATCTTTGAGGTTTTCAGGAACGGGAACGGGTTTTTTTTCGTTGATGCTGGGGAGGATGATAAGGATGAGGTCGAGGGCGTGTTGCTGTTGTTAAACGACAACGTTGAGAAATGCTGTGCAAAGGAGACGAAATTGCATGGATGAAACTGATGTACTACCTGTAAGCAATAAACTTTTAAAGTAATAGGTTTGATAAAAAGAGCACTCTGTCAATCAGTAAATGAAAGGTTTCTTCGAGTTATGAAATGATACTTATTGGAAAAGTTGTCACGAATAACCTGTTGGTCATTTTGCGTGGTAATTGTCATCGGTAACGTTGGACATGTACCCGATTGATGCGAATAATTGGATGTGGCACCATATGAACCCATCGAATCAAGCCCAGACCAACACATCGACATAGCTCGTAGTTGATTCTCATAACAGTTTGGTCCTTCTCTTATTTCTGCATCCATAACTGACCGAGATTTTTTTTCCTATCATCCACATAATTAATCTCAATTCGAGCAGTGTTTATGGCGATGAGTTTGTAGTTAATATGACAGTTCTTAGTCTTGTTGATTATTATTTCAAGAATAAATATTCATGTAACAAAGAATAGATTTCAGATATTCAGTATTGAGTACAAATACAAAAATACATTTACACTGAATACCTGAATGAAATATGCTCTGAAACTTCTGTTTGCAATGCAAACAGTAAGGCTCGGATCCCTTTTGAATGACTCATAAAAATATGTGTATTTTGCTGGCATATAAGGAAACATTGATTTGTAAAGTACGAACTTTAAAAAAACATTGTTTAACAGACATGAAGAAGTGGAAGACAGATGAGCTCTTAAAATTTAAGAGGTAATAGACATCAAGAACGAATTCGTTTACATGGAGAGTAAAGCAAGGTACATTAAAACTTTCTTTAAGAGGAAAAACTGTGCAGCTAAAGTGATAAATTCTTCACAGCTTTCTTCACTTGAGAGAAAAAATTCTTTTTTTTCAATTTTTTTTTTTAATTTGGAGGGATATTCTAGTAGGGTTTTGAAATTCTGACTCTGAATTCTTTAAAATGATTTTGCCATAAGTTGTAAGGAGACAGTAAAAGAGATGAAATCTATTCATAAAATTCCTGTTTTGGATCATATAGGAGCATTATTGTTTCAAAAATTCGCTACCAATCTAAAGAAAGTTGAAATGGGCAAACTTTTCAAGACTAGGAGAGTGGTTCTCTTTTGAATGATGAATGGCGTGATCATATCATTACGGAAAGGGAAACGTGATGAAAATTGTGGTGCTAGCGACTATATGTATTTTTCCCTAAAATGAGTTGAAAAACCAGCAGAATAGTGGAATTAGAGACGTCGGAAGATGGGTTAATTAAGAGCAGGATAGAAAGTGGACCAATCTATATAGTATTACCTAAGCAGATGCGCTTTTGCGCAATCAGTATTCGGCGGTATAACAGATTTATGGAAATGAGGTGAGGTCGTGTTGCCGGTGTTTCTAAACCTAAAGCATTGTGATGAATTCTCGACCTCATGTGCTTTATGGAAAACCGCAGTCGTGGTTGCATCACGTGAATCTCTCTCCACAGGCTTACCTTCTTTCCACCTATATTATTTTCAAGTACCGCTTTCCTCTGCCTAATAATTGTTTAATTTTCCCTTGTTTTTCAAAAATGATTGTTTCATAATTCTTTCCTTATGATTATCAAAATCAACCTTAAAACTTACAAATTTTCAACAATATATCGAATGGTTATATGATAGACTAAAATAAGAATTCCGGTGGAATCCTCTGACAAACTATAGAAGATTTACAATTTTGTCATGTATTTACCGAGGGATTTTGTTTGTTAGAACAGCAAAAACCTTTAAGCTTTTTCAGCACTTCCTGTGCTAGCGTTTCTGTCATTATTTGAATCTATAAAACGCTGTGATGAAATTATGCTATATTCTTCTCTGGCATCATTCATCCTGAAAACAAATGCAGATTCATCGCTTCATGAACCTATTATAGATAATTTATAGGATAATCATGCATTCAGAAAATTCCAAACATTTTTCAATGTTGTGATAGAATCGGGCAAAAAATATTGTCATTTTGAAGGTGTGGATGCGGAAATATCGATGTTTCTTAAAGGCTCATCTGGTCATAATATTTTAGCTGCTATAAATATATTAGCCGAAGTAAATCAAAAACTGTGAAAATAAAATTGCAGCCTAAGCTGACCACCATAAGTTATTCAATATTTGTGCAATTAGATTTTGTCTAACTTCAAAATGCATATCGTCATTTTTTAAAAAAAATCTAAAAAAATTATTGAAAGCTGAAATTTAGTATATTGTAAAAAAA